CCCGGAACACTTCCAATATCCAAACATAGGCTTCCAATATATCAATCTTTATGTCTCGACCATTTCAAGACTCCTTGTCATGTCCGTGATCACATCCGGGACTCCGAACAACCTTCGGTACATCAAAATGCATAAAATCATAATAACTGTCATCGTAACGTTAAGCGTGCGGACCCTACGGTTCGAGAACAATGTAGACATGACTGAGACACATCTCCGGTCAATAACCAATAGCGGGACCTGGGTGCCCATATTGGCTCCTACATATTCTACGAAGATCTTTATCGGTCAGACCGCATAACAATATACGTTGTTCCCTTTGTCATCGGTATGTTACTTGCCCGAGATTCGATCGTCGGTATCCAATACCTAGTTCAATCTCGTTACTGGCAAGTCTCTTTACTCGTTCTATAATACATCATCCCGCAACTAACTCATTAGTTGCAATGCTTGCAAGGCTTATGTGATGTGCATTACCGAGAGGGCCCAGAGATACCCCTCCGACAATCGGAGTGACAAATCCTATTCTCGAAATACGCCAACCCAACATCTACCATTGGAGACACCTGTAGAGATCCTTTATAATCACCCATTTACGTTGTGACGTTTGGTAGCACATAAAGTGTTCCTCCAGCAAACGGGAGTTGCATAATCTCATAGTCATAGGAACATGTATAAGTCATGAAGAAAGCAATAGCAACATACTAAACGATCGGGTGCTAAGCTAATGGAATGGGTCATGTCAATCAGATCATTCAACTAATGATGTGACCTCGTTAATCAAATAACAACTCTTTGTTCATGGTCAGGAAACATAACCATCTTTGATTAACTAGCTAGTCAAGTAGAGGCATACTAGTGACACTCTGTTTGTCTATGTATTCACACATGTATTATGTTTCCGGTTAATACAATTCTAGCATGAATAATAAACATTTATCATGATATAAGGAAATAAATAATAACTTTATTATTGCCTCTAGGGCATATTTCCTTCAAAATATCAGACTCATTGTTGTGGCAAACATTATTAATAACTTTAGTGCAAATATCTGACAAAGACAGGCGGAACAAGCCTCCGCTCTCATAGCCTTTTCTAACAAATTGTCCATACTTAGAAATTACAACTTTATTGGATTCGAAAACCAACTTAAAACCATCTCGACATAAACGGGAACCGCTAACGAGATTTTTATTTATGGACGGCACATGATGAACGTTCTTCAGACGCACAGTCTTCCCCGAAGTAAACTTCAGATCGACTGTACCAACACCTCGAACGATGGCATGTGACCCGTTCTCCATCAGCACGGGTGAAGTCCCTGTTGCCTGGTAAGAAGAAAACATGGAGGCGTCAACACAAACATGTACATTGGCACCGGTGTCAATTAACCAATCAAGGGATTGAAATACTGAAAGGATGGTAGGTAAAATACCATACCCTCATTCCTTCATATCAATATCACCGATGACAACATTAGTGGACTTGCCGCTCTTTTCATGTTCGCGCTCCTCAAAGCGGTTAGGACACTTCAGAGTCCAGTGATTAGGATCACTGCAGACATGGCAAAGTTCCTTCCCCTTCTTATGAGAATTCTTCTTGAAATTGGTAGAATGTGATGGCTTGTTCTTTGTATCAAACTTGCCTTTGCCCTGAATTTTGTTCTTATTGTTTTTGAACTTGTTGGGCTGGGAGTTCTTCTTATGTACCATGTGGGCACTAGAAGCTCCCTCAGCAACTCGAGCACGTGTATCCTTTGCTCTCGCCTTCTCTTTAACATCAAGAGTACTAATGAGATCCGCAACGGAAAACTCCTGTCTCTTGTGTTTCAGGAAAGTAGCAAAATTGTTCCACGAAGGTGGAAGTTTGGCAATGATGCCTCCGGCAACAAATTTGTCCGGCAACACACACTTGAAGTACTCAAATTCTTTTGCGAGCGACTGTATCTCATGAGGCTATTGTACAACAGAGCGCTTATCAGTCATCTTGTAGTCATAGAATTGCTCCATGACGTACAACTCGCTGCTGGCGTCCGAGGCACCAAACTTGGCCTCGAGTGCAGCCCACATGTCCTTATTGTTTTCAAACGATATATATGAATCCACAATGGAATCATCCAGAACACTCAGAAGAGCGCCTTTAAAGAGAGTATCGATCTTCTCAAAAGCTTCCAATTGTGCTGGATTAAGATCACCCTCAGGCTTGCCCTTGGTGGCGTCATAGCAGCCCATGGTCTGAAACCAGTAGACTGCTCTCGTGCGCCACCTCTTATATTGCGCCCCCTTAAAGGCGGGCGGCTTCAGATGCGCAGCAAAACCACTCGGAGTAAATTGCCTATAATCAGGTTTTTGGATTGTTGGAAATATGAGCAAGTACTACGAGATTTAATCCGAATAATTAGAAGATAAATCATGACTACAGTAGCAGAGATTAAACTAATCATGCGAACTAGCATGGCAGATGAACAGATCACATCTAGGGCACATACTAGAAACATGAATTTTATCACGATCTCGAACAGGAAGGATAGAATCACATACGGTGCAGCGGGAGCAGCACCGCCGACGTTGACGTTGTCGCCCATGTCGTCGAGGATGAGGTTGCCGAGGTCAGGGAAGAAGTCGTCGTTCGCGAAGTCGTCGCTGCCAGCAGTCACGCGAGTGCGCTCCCCAAAAACCTGATCGCCCCTCTCCCGTACAGGATCATGAGAGGCGGGGTTCCGGAGGCCTGCCGTCCCTTCTCCCGGTGCACGCCGAAAGGAGGGATGGAGAAGACTTGCTTGGCGACGCAATGATCTGGAACGGTGGTGAGAAACCATACGAAGCAGTGGCGGCGGGAGTAAACCCCACGTCCGAGTCATCACGATCCAAAAGAATCGGAAACGGTTCAGTAATTGACGCGTCCGTTAATTATTAAGTAATGACTCATTAATTTTTCCCGAGTAGCAAAAATATAGACAACGTGCATAGCTCTATCCTCGGCTCAATCCTGCAACCCGCGGCGCGTCGTGACGAGGCGAGGCGAGGCGAGGCGAGGCGTGGCGAGGCGAGCGAGGAGGAGGAGCGCGCGTGTAGGTCTTCTTTTCTCATGCTCATACAAGTGGTAGAAGAGCTCATCTTATAAAGAGGTGCAACTCTCTCTCAACTTTCGGGGTAAGAGTAAACTTTAGCCTCATTCACTTCACTTATATGTGTGCATAAATGGACCAAGAAAATTTTCAGAATTTTAATTGGGCTTTGAGCCAATGGCTACTAGCAAAATTCCAACACGTCGAGGGAGCAGCGTCGCAGGCCCTGAAGCCTATCTGTTGTTACGCGCGCGCTCGGCCTCTTCACTTTTTATTCCACCGCATCAAACATCATCCCCAGCCATCCTGGCCTCCTTTCCGTGTGTGCCAACGTAGGAGAGCAGGAGCGTTGGGATAGAGGATGAAAATGACGGGTGGGCCAACTTAGTAAGTGAGAGTCGCGATTTATCCCGGGCAGGATCATCTTTTTCTCAGTCCACCAAACGGATGCAGGTCTAGATTAATCGGGATTGATGAATACAGGATATCGACTTTAGGGATTTTAAGGTCGAAATTCATTTGCGTCCTCCTCTACAATCTTAGGGTTCAAAATAGATTTCACTCAACGAGGAGGAGAGAGCCCACGATGCGCGTCCCACCGACACGGCGCCCCTCGCGTGCACCGGCAGACATCTCTTTCTGCCCCCGAGCCCGATGCACCATCTTCTGACACTTGCACGCGGGGCGAGGCATGCCTGCATACGACAACCACGTCCACGCTGACGCCCAACACCGTATTCACCGAATCTCTGCGGCGCTCCCCGTCCACCTGCTTTCCTCCAGACGACCGTTCGCCCAACACCGTATTCACATGTCGCGCTCCTCCTTCTCACCTGCTCGGCGCACAACGCGACCAGTCCCAGTCCCAGTCCCGGACGATCCCTTCGCGGCAGAAAAAGAGAGGGAGAGAATGCCTTCAGATCTCACGAGGGGTTGAGAGAGTATATTAAACACAGCTCATATTCTTTTTTTTGCGGGTCGTGTAGTAGTAGTACATGAGTCAAATACAGAAAGACTGTCGCGTAACTCGTTTGTTCGTTCGCAAAAAAAAAAACAAAAAAAAAAACAAGGGCGTCTTGTTCCTGTTTGACGTTGGTCCCGGTAGGAGTAGGCTGAGTAGAGTTGACTTGCCAGCTCGGTCTCATGCGCCGATCCGTGAAGGAGAGGAGCTTGTGGGAGCAGTGGAGCGGTGCGACGCAAGCTGGCCGGGCTGGCCATATCCATCACGTGGCCGCACCAGACCAGAGTGCCACTCCCTCCCTTCGTACGCAGGAGAATGGAGTCGGGCAGATCGGTCCAGGAGCAATCAATCCAACACTGGGCAGGGCCGCGACAACAACACTCAAACTCGCATGCACGCTCACGCGCATGGTGGCGCATGCATTCAATACAACGTGTCCAAACATGGTTTTTGTCTCTTTTCTTTTGTGAATTAAACATGGTTTTTGTCAGCACGCAAGCCACAGCCGCTCGCGTCTCCGCATCACCTTCCCATTTTTGCGTGCAACGGCGTGCACCGCCCATCCTATCTTTCCACTTGTGCGCAACGCCGCGAACCGCCCGTCCCAAAATGTCGGTGAAGGCGAAAGTTTCTTCCATTCGCAGTAGATTTTCTCGTTTTTACGATCGGTAGGAGTAGGAGTAGTATACATTTTTTTACGCCGGTCTCGCTCTGTACCACCTCACATGCCAAAAGGTGCCGCTGATGATGGTTGGTTGATCGATGACCGATCCCAGACTTTACAGCCAGCCTTTCACTCGGGGCCAAAACCCACCCCCCATCCACCTTTTTCACCCCCAAAACCCTCATTAAATACGCCCCCCACGAACCCCACAAAATCACTCCAAGCCTCTGCGCAAGCTCACTCCACTGTCCACTCCAGTCCAGTGCAGCGAGTGCGCGAGCAAGCGGCCAAGAAGCGCACACAGGAGATGGCGACGGTGACCACCGGCCTCGTGGCCGCGGCGTCGCTCCTCCTGCTGCTCGCGGGAGGCGCGTCGGCGGCGACGCTGGCGCTGTACAACAAGTGCGGCGAGACGGTGTGGCCGGGCATCCAGCCGGGGGCCGGCAAGGAGATCCTGGCGCGCGGCGGGCTGCAGCTGCTCCCCAACCGCGCCACCTCCATCCGCCTCCCGGCCGGCTGGTCGGGCCGCGTGTGGGGCCGGCAGGGGTGCCGCTTCGACGCGGCGGGCCGCGGCAAGTGCGCCACGGGCGACTGCGGCGGCGCCCTCTACTGCAACGGCGCCGGCGGCGAGCCCCCGGCCACGCTGGCCGAGATCACGCTCGGCGCGTCCGCCTCCGCGCTCGACTTCTACGACGTGAGCCTGGTGGACGGCTACAACGTGGCCATCGACATGCGGCCCTACCACGGGTCCGGCGCCAACTGCCTCCCCGCCGGCTGCGTCAGCGACCTCAACAGCGTCTGCCCCGCCGGCCTCGCCGTCCGCGGCGGCAACCGGGTCGTGGGGTGCCGCAGCGCATGCGCCGCGTTCGGGAGCGCCGAGTACTGCTGCACGGGGCAGTTCGGCGGCCCGCAGCAGTGCAAGCCGACGACCTACTCGCGGCTGTTCAAGCGGGCGTGCCCCAAGGCCTACTCCTACGCGTATGATGACAAGACCTCCATCCTCACCTGCGCCGCCGGCACCTCCTACGTCGTCACCTTCTGCCCCCACCGCCGCTAGACCATGCCACCGCCACGGATCTAGACCTGAAGACGGTGGTAGTATGTTGTTGTTTCAGTTGAGCCGGTGCTCGGTGCATGGCATTGTTGCTGTGTTGTTCTTTGGTTCTTGCTGTCGTTGCGTCCTGTGTTAGTGCCGGGATCGATAATAACAATAGTGGTAGTGGCAGCGAAGTGAACCAGTGATGGTTTGTGGTAGGCCTGGATGGATGGGTATAATAGTATGGTAGTAGTATAATGGCAGTATATGCAGATCGAACTACTTATATTTTTCATCTGGGCTCCCCGGTTGATTCTGTCCTCGTGCGAGCTTGCATTCATTCATTCATTTTTCCTGCATTGCTAGTACTATCTTGGATTGATTTCTTGATCGTTCAGGTCTGAATGGTTGATCGCTGTACTTTAAAAAGTGCTCTTCAGATCTGAACATTTTCAGCAGTGGGCGGTGCTCCTGGATGAAGAGAAGACGACTGTCGTCCGTACGGGGCGTCGTGCAGCTAGGGAGGGGAGGGAGCTTTTGTCACGGAACATCATCGTAATCGAGGACGTGAAGGATTCGAGGAACACACTCCAGTTTGTACTCCGGTGCAACTGAGGCGCTGGATGGAGCAAAAGCTCGTTGGATACTTGGATTCCGTCTCAATGCAGCGACTCTTCTACAGTCTCCCCCACGAAGACGTAGTATAAATTTCCCGTGAAACGCTGAAGAAATACCAGTATACATATTCATCTTTGTTTGTAGATATTCTGGAACCTGAAGCTCGAAAGAGTTTACGAGCAGAAAAGCTCACCTCATTCATTTCATTTCAAGCTCACTCCTGCCTGCCCTCTACTACCAACCGGAGTCCACGGCTACAGCCAGTAGAGTGTACTCCAGCATTCACGTCGCAGTTATGGACGATCATAGGATCCTCTGCTGAAAGCTGTCGCGACCGACGGGCTGGCAATCACTCCAGCTTTCGCCTGCTTTCCGCTTTCCGGAGCAGGCGCATCAATTTTGAACAGCCCTGGAGCCACTGCCAAATGTTACCGTTCAAACCTGAAAGTGCTGCGTGCCTCGCACCTGCATTGCACGTACTACCTGCGCATCAGAGATCACGGCGATCTCCGTGCTAGTCCTCCCGCTCGCCTTGTTACCAGTGATCGTTGCGGTGGTGGTACTGGTTTGAATCGTGGCGCACGCGGCGGTTGGTTTCGCTTTTGAACAAACCGTGGTGGTGGTGCGGTGCTGAAAAGAAGCGGAGCTCTCTGGAGAAAAGGCACGTGACCGGATCGGAGCTTTTTCGGAGGCGAAATGCAGCCGTTGCGTTACGTGGTCCGTACTACTGCAGCACAGCTTCAAGATCCAACAACTACGCAGAGAGGAGTAGGTTAGATCGATCACCGTAGCAAAGATCATGTGCTTGGATCAGGCGTGACGGGAACCTTTTCCCCTCCGCTTTCTCGCTTCTCACAGTCACGTGGGCGGTGCATGCATCGGCGATGGACAAACTCTAGAGGGAGGCCGCACACGATCTCGTGGCCACATCCGCGTCGAAGGACGGGCTCGTATTGTGTTGTGTGGAACACAGGGTGTTTTGTTTTGCACGGTGCATGGCAGCATGGGTCCTGCACTCTGTCTATTACTCCCTCCATTCCAAAATATAGTGCGCCCGCGCTTCCCGAGGTCCAACTTTGACCATAAATTTAACCAACGAGACCGACTGCGGCGGGAGAAAAAATTATATAATTGAAAACTTCTTTTGAATATGAATTCACTGGTATAACTTTTGCTCCTGCCGCAGTCGGTCTCGTTGGTTAAATTTATGGTCAAAGTTGAAGCGCGGGAATAGAGGAAGCACTATATTTTGGAACGGAGGGAGTATTATACTTTGTGCACGTTGCACTTTTCTCTAGCTAATTACTTTTGCCCCTCCGTTCTTCGAGCGATTTGTCACGGAACTTTACGGTGTCAACGGCAAGAACAGGCTAGCTGGTGAAGGTCGTGCCCGAAAAGATGGAGCCAGCAGACCTAAACAAGTCGTAGTAGCACTAGAAAGAAGCAGGATGGAATGTTGACTTCAAAGGCCATCTCGCATCGTGGACCCTTAAACCACCCACAATTATCCGGATCATTCAGTCGCGTGGTCCGAAAGTGTTTAGCAATCCAACGCGGGTTGGTATCGGTCCGTAGGTCGGTCTAGACGTGCTTTCTCTCGAAAACCGGAGACAACTTTGCGGGCGTTCAGGCCTGCCATACCCGCTCCTAACTACTCTTGCCTACCAAAAAACCCTCCCGCAGCCGCACACTTTCCCGCCTGAAGCCAGCTGTCCACGTCACCGCTCTAGAGCGGCCGATCCGCATTGACGCCGATCTAGAATAGACGTGACCGCTCGCATATAGGAGTAGGTTAGATCGATTCACCCTAATGTGGTAATGCCCGCTGTAGCAAGATCATGTGCCTATATCGGGTGTGATGAAAACCTTTCCCCATCTGCTTACGCACTCAGGGTGGGAACGGGTCGACCCGGACCTGGCCTTGGACCCGGCCCCGTTGGCCTCGAGGCCAATTTTAGAGGCCACGGGTCGACCCAATTCAAAAAAGTCAATGGCCTCGCCGGCCCGATGGGTACTTCGGGTCGACCCAAATTTTATTTTCTTATACAATATTTGGTTGTGGTTACACATAGAATATTCTCAAAAATATGTTATTAAAAGTAAAAAAAAATTATGACCTAAACATGCATGATTGAAATAATTAAAGTTTACAAATGAACCACAATATACAATTTCAGCTCTTTACACGTCCGGTTTATAAAGGAGGATTGGGTTAATGGATTCCAGTACGTGTACAAATGTTAGCTAGTTGATGTTTCGGCTAATTAGTATACTGTAATTAGCTGATCGCTAGTTGTCGTATAACGGTATAAGCTAAGCTAAAGATGAATTTGGTGATACCAATGGACTCCAGTACTCGGAGATGGGTCGGCCCTGCTGGCCCAATGGGTCACTTAGTGCCGGCTCTACTGGCCCGATTTTTGTACAAGGCCGACCCGACTGACCCATCGGCTTTGTTTTCTTGGGTCGGGCCAAAGACCCGATGGGTCGCCCCGGCCCATTCCCACCTTGATTACGCACTTCCTACTTCTCAGTCATGTAATGAACACTAGTAAGAGCATCTCTAATAGAAACACGGTAGCGCGGCATGTTAAAAAAAACTGCAGCGTTGAAATAGTGTTTTAGCCCGTGTGGGAGGATGGTTGCTTTTCCAGGCTCTGCAAAATTTAGCTGGAGCAGACGCCGAAACTTTTCCAGGCATAAAATACCCAACGCGCGAGCGGGCACACCAAATATCCAGCGCGCAATGCAGTTTTTCATAGCGCGCTGAACCTTGTTTACCGCGCACGGGATTATAGCGCGACTGCTGAAGCGCTACTCCCAACGGTGCACATGGCTATATACCCTTTTTTCTGGTGCACGGCTTATCTAGCGCATATGTTGAAGATGCTCTAAAGAAGTGATTATGGACAAACTGGGGAGATAGTCACAGGATCTCGTCTTGTGGCCGGTGGGTCGGGTCCGACATGGGCGTCGGTTGGGTCTAATATGGCGGACGTGGCCGAACACACTTGGGTGCTCCCATATCCGTCCCATATTTGAGTTGAATATGTAAGGTATCGATTAGCCCGGACGTTTAAAAACCGTTTAAAAGATTTGTCTAGGTCAAAAAATTGTGACCGGACAGCTCGCCCGGACGTATGAAGCTGACCATCGACAAACTCGGGAGGCAGCACATGATCTCGTCTTGCGGGCGGTGGGCCGGCGAGCGCTCGCCTCGAAACATCAACATCTGCATCGAAGGACTATATTGCGTGGAACACAGAGTGTATTGCATGGTTTGAGTACGGGTTTACCCTTTTTTCCAATTCATTACTATTGCCCCTCCATTGTTCGAGCAATTTGTCACGAAACTTTACGGTGTCGACGGCAAGGGCAAACTAACCGGTGAAGTTCGTGCCCAAAAGATGGAGCCAATAGACCTAAGCAAGTCGTAGTAGCACTAGAAAAAGAAACACGGATGGAATGTTGACTGTAAGCGAAAGTCATGTTCTGCACGAGAGCTCATTTGAGCTCGCGATGAACAGTATAATCATAAATGAATAAATCCGAGTTTCTTTTATGATAGACTTTGACAAATGTTTCAAGTGCTTATAAAATTTCAGCGTGAAGTCACATTCGTGGAAGTAGTGCAAAAGAAAAATCAGGACCTCAAAATGCTTTAAAAAATAACACTTTTGGGGCATTGATATTTTTTTTCCACGAGTTCCACAAATGTGATTCTTTGATTAATATTTGTAAGCACTAAAAACTTTTATCAATGCAATTTTTTTTGGAATTTATTGTTCACTGAGCTCAAGCTCAAAAATTATGTTTCCGACTGTAAACCATTATCTGAACTGGTTTGCCTACTGAGCTCCATGCCCAACATGGTTAATTCATGGATGTGAATTACTTCCATTTTTAGAATTCGATTTTCGTTTCTCTACTTTTATTAAAAAGACTCAGTTGATGATGATGATGTGTCTGTCATCCGTCATTTCTGACCCTTAGATCTGTATCTAACGACTGTGAGATAAGCTGTGTTTTTTTGCAATAATAGTCCACTTCTCTGCTCCAGCTTGCAGAAAACCCTCATTATCTTGAAACCAACCACATCCCTCCCTCACCTCATCAAAACAGCTCAAGGAATATATTTTGAGTGAAACATAATATATTTTAGTGATATATGTATATCAAAACTAGAGTGTTTTCTTTTAAGTTTGTGAATAAGTACTATTCTACTTTAAACCCGTTGCAACACACAGGCACATTGCTAGTAAGTATAAAAAAACTATGTCTACGCAGCGTACAAATATTAATAGTTCGATGAAGTCAGCTCAACACTAGAGTGGTGGCAAATCATTGTGCAGAAGGCCCATTTGAGTTGCATGGCAAGTGTGTTAATTTAGTTTCATACAACT